CTGTGCATGAGGAGATGGATTGTGGACAGCGGCACAACTTGGGTCGGTCTCTCACGCTGGATAAACAGCATACCCTGATCTAGTGGGTAGCCTGCTGTTGTCAGCACCTGCAGAGGAACACAGCTGTATGTAAGGTCTTTTCGGGCACTTGCTAAAAGGGTGATGGTTGTAAATATACCAAGGAGAGGTTCTCAACCAGCGGGGCCTTGAAGAGAAGGCTCCGAGACTGTTGTAGGGGTGATTGATGTTTGTGTTCGAGGTTGCGTTCGGGCTAATAATCAGTGAGAGCGCAGACACTTTTGTTAAATGCTTACTCTGGGTTGCGTTGGTGCGAACAGTGCGGTGGACCTATCGTTGTAGAAACAAGGCATGGCTATATATATGTGCATATCATCAGCGTATGTATATATAGCAGGCACTGACCGTAGATTTTGAAGAAATGCTATGGGTGTAGCCCCATACCTTAACAGTGCTGGTTTCTGCGATTGGATCTTCGTGGACTTTCAGGTCGTCATAACCTGTGTCAGACATCTTGCCGCTGTTTGGTCCCTCGGGCCCCAGGCTTCAGTAGAGGGTACGGGTCACACCAGAGTCTGCTCTCATTGGGACAGGTGCGTACGAATGCGCGATTGCTTTGAGGGCTTGGTTGTGCTCATTGGTCACTCTTCCAGGTTAAGGTGGGTTGCTTGGCTTCCGTTTGGGACAATCATTAATCCGGTTAGAAGTCTTACCAGTGTTCCTTTGAAGCGCAGAGTCAACTGTTTTCCATTGGTTGGTACTCGACATTGGCACGACCGTTTGTAGTCCTTGGCTGCGCATGGGAAATGGATGAACCAGTATCAAATAGTTGGTGTCTTAAATCTTTGTCAAACTCGTTGCCCATGATATGTGACTACGGCCATTGGAGTTCTGACAGAGGTATCATTGGGCGTCAAAGTTGGTGGTAATATTTGATGCTATGTCAGATTTACATAGCCCATTACATGTGTCTGGCAGTTCGAAGTTGTAGTGGAACAAGTAGTCAGGCAGTAATGGCAGTTTTGAAGTTGTAGTGGAACATGTAGTTGGGCAGTAAAACTAAGTCGGGTGGAGGTGTAAAGTTTGATGCTATGTGAAATTTACGTAGCCCATTACATGTGTCTGGCAGTTCGAAGTTGTAGTGGAACAAGTAGTCGGGCAGTAATGGCAGTTCGAAGTTGTAGTGGAACAAATAGTCGGGCAGTAAAACTGAGTCGGGGGGAGTTCTCTCCTACCATGAGCTATTTGCAGGGAACCCCTATGAATCTTGGTCTTCCAAACTTTTAAATTCAGCAGATTGAGGACAGAACAATCCAAGATTTGGGGTAGTCGGCAGGAAATCAAAGTAGTAGTAGTGAAATTCAATGGTGATGTCGTCCCTACACTATTAAAATCACTAAGGGAACCAATCTGTGATCGAGGCCGTCGTCGGTCCTCTTGGCCCGTGGCCTGGTTCGTCGGAAATATGGAATAGATCTGAAATCTGGGCTGTTGGGTACTGCCGGATCGATGGCTGGGATCGGCGCGCAGTCTTAAGATTTTAAGATGGAGCGCCAATCCAGGCCGTCGGCCCAGTCCTGACGGCCCAGATCAGAAGTTTATGTTGAGGGCACCCACTTCCCCGTTGCAGTGGGCTGTTTCTTGGCACGGGCCGACCTGCCTACTCCACGCACCTACCTGCCCAGCACGACCTTCTTTGCCTAGCCGACCTACCTATTATACCACATCGCTACATACCAGTTGCGTGAGCTTGCCCACCTACCTGACCTAGCTACGGTACCACAGCGCTACAGTAGCTCTACCCTAGCATAACCTGCCTATGCGGCGTGCCTACCTGCTGTGTGCGACCTACTTTGCCTACCCGATCTAACCACCGTACCGAAGTGCTACCGTAGCTATAGCCTGGCGTGAGCATAGTGCTACCATAGCTCTCTCTCTCTCTCTCTCCCTCTCTCTCTCTCTCTGTTTGTGTGTGTGAAACATGAACTGGTGCTCTGTGCTATGTGCTTTGGTGCTGGCGTGAGCATAGTGCTACCATAGCTCTCTCTCTCTCTCTCTCTCTCTCTCTCTCTCTCTCTCTCTCTCTCTCTCTCTCTCTCTCTCTCTGTTTGTGTGTGTGAAACATGAACTGGTGCTCTGTGCTATGTGCTTTGGTGCGATTTCCTCCCCTCTCTCTCCCTCTCTCTATCTGTGCTACGTGAACCGGTGCTATGTGCTAGTGTGCTTTGGTGCGATTTTCTCCGTGCGTCGAGCTTTGGTGCTATGTGGTCTATGAGTTGAACTGGGTGCGAGGTGCTTTTTGCTACGCGAGTTGGTCTTCTCCGTGCGTCATGGTTCGGTGCTACATGGTTTATGGGTTGAACCACGTGTGAGGTGCTTTGTGCTACGTGAGTTGGTGTGACAGATTACGTTCACATACATGTGGCCACGTGTGAGGTGCTTTGTGCTACATGAGTTGGTGTGACAAATTACGCTCACATACATGTGGACGTAATTGCTCCAAGTATGCTTCCTATTCGACTGACCCAGTGACTAGTATTCTGCTTGCCTCCTATTTGGCTGACCCGGTGACTAGGATTCTGCTTGCCCACTTATTCCTGGAATGAGGCGCACCTACAGTCAAGGGGCCTATCCCAACACTGTGGTGCACATGTGCCAGCCATGTTATGTAGCACTGGGGGAATGAATATCGGTACTATTCCGTCTAATCCTCAATGGGGTTATTGTTGTAAAATTTTCCTTGGAAGACCTATTTCCAAGGGAATCCAGCGTGAATACACTGAAGATGATGGGAGGTCATGATGAAGATGGGGTCGCATTCACGAAAAGTAGCCAGGAACCTCAGCATGCAGGAACTGGACGGCGACACTGATTACCTCGGTAACTATCTGGAATATGTTCAAGCTTGAGGAAAGGAGCAAAGAACAAGGAAGATGAAGAGTAGCTGGAGGTGTTTGAGAAATTAGGGGAGGATGATGATGCCGCGTGGTGGCAAAGAGACAGTTCCATTCAGGTGTCGGCTGACGACGATAGCCAGGACCTATGTGGAGAGTATTATTGTAGGATAAAAAGCACGTAAATGATAGAGCAACACAACATTGGGAACGCTTATCAATCAGCAACACAACAGAGTTGCATTAGCCATACATCGGAATGTCATTAGCCATATGGAGACTCGAGACACATTGCCACATGGAGACTAGAGACACATTGTCACATGGAGACTCGAAAGAGGAAAGTGTTGTAAACAGATGTCCTTGTGCATCTGCAGCGGTTTGCGTTAACTGGGTGGTTGCAATGACCACCATGGTTAAGAGGATGTCAGGCAGACGGATAGAGGAACAAAATAATATATAGTGTGGGATATTCAGAGTGCAACATGAGGTGGTGCATTCTACAGGACTGTAAGCAGGGGAACGGTTGTGAGGACCGCATACATTGTATATGGTGCAATGGTGCGTGCTGTGACAGTAGTACGAGGATGGGAGAATTTAGGGTAGAACGAGGTTTGTAGTGCAGTGTGATAGTACAATTCAATGCTGAGAGAAAGGGGATGAGTCTGAAGGACACTTGCATGTCCCCGCATCTCAACTGCTTGCGAAGGTGTAACAGAGGGACTAGCCAAAGGTTGAATCCCCAAAACCATCTGTACGATTGTAAACTTCCTGCAAAGCTTGAGCATGGATTTTGGAAAGAGTCCTGGGTTATGATTCAAATTGACACGCAGGAAAATATTTGGTACATGAAAAAAATTGGTACATGATCATCCTGCTGAAAATGAAATGGTGTATATTGAGGCCTACTCTTCATAAGAATGTATTATTGAGCCTACACTTCATACATTGCTTGCTGTATGGATCCCTACACGTTAGCTTGTAGAATGACTCAAGAAGTATGGATTTGTAAGACGCACTTACAAAGGTTATATCCGTCCTATGCCAATAAGAATTATGATCCCGATGGACCACACAGATATACTTGCATTTTACAATGCAAAAACCCGTGGCATTTTCAACTACTCCTTTGCGGTTCTCCTGGCGGGCCTGAGTCGTATTATACACTTATTGTGGTCTTCATGTGGTCTTACGTTATCAACTAAATACAAACTTAGGTCTTTGAGAAAAACAGTGTATCAGTTGGGCAAGGATCTCAAGTGCCCAGAAACGGGTACAACGTTCAATGAACCTAGCAATTATCATCTTCGATCGCCCTGCCTCTGTGTTGTTAAACAGAACCATGCCGGATGGAATGGATGACTCTGAAATGAAATGTAAATGGACGGCGCAGCGTTGACTGTTACCGCCGGGAAGCGGCGGCTTATTTAATTTCATTTGGTGATCACGGTGGGCACGCAACCC